TCAGTCAGAATGGTCATCATTAAGGACAGAAATGACAACAAATGCTAATGCTGACATGGGGGAAAGGAACCCTTATGCATTGCTAATAAGAGTGCAAACTAGTCCAGTCTCTCTGGAAATCAGTCTGGAGGTTCCTCAAAAAACTAGAAATGGATCTACCGTATGACCCAGCCATAACATTCCTAAGCACACACCCAAAGGTTTCTATCCTACTACAGAGATGCTTGCTCATGCATGGTCACTGAAGCTCTATTCACAATGGCTGGGAAATGGAATCAACCTACATGCCTAACAACTGAAAAACAGAAAATGAAAATGTGATGATATACAAAATGAAACTATTCAGTTGTAATGAAAAATGAAATTAATACAATGTTCAGGTAAAGAGAAGAAACTACAAATTATACTGAGTGAGGTAACTCAGATCCAGAAAGCATCCTAGCTTTGAATCTTTAGTTCTATGTTTGACTTAGAATATCTGTCAAAGCTAGGAAAATAGAAAGAGGCCATGGTTGAGGAATCATGAGAGGTGTGATGGTAGAACACAGATACTATGAAAGAGGAAAGGAAAATAACAGTAGTGGTAGGTTCATATAGGGAGGGTAATGGGAGACTACAGAACAGGAGGGGCAGGGCAAAGGATAACTAACACTAAGGATGTTTGAAAAAGTCATATGGAAACATACTATTTTATAAGCTTCCTAAATGCATATCCATATATGGATGTATTTAGAGAGAGCATGTATGTTTAAATGGAGTTAATCCACACAGGGGGTTAATGCTCCTCTCAGAAGCCATAGGTTGCCAAACAAAACCCCAGTACCAAGTATGGGATGCCTTTGAGTTGCTGACTGGGGGAGGGGAATCCCCAGAGGACCCCAGCCCAAGAATATACAAGATATTGTCATTGCTCTTGATTGAGCACCAGAACGTAATGGTAAGACTTTACTGCTTAAAATACCACATACTTTGGTTGCAGGGCATAGAGAAAACAAGGTGGCACCAACCTGGAAACTTACTCCTTGCTGGCCAGCTTTGATATAATGGAAGGTGCCATGAAGGGTTCTGTGAGAAAAAAAGTTATCAACAGTCTTACCCAGCTGTGAACCCTATGAACTAAAATGATGACCACTGTGGCAAGATACACCCATTGGTACAATAGTGGTACAAATGCCATCAGAGTAACCAAATGCTTTTGATTTTTTTGATTGATGGATTAGTGTTTTTTATGCACCTGAGTATTTTGTCTTCATGTGTGTAAGTACACCCATGTTGTCACACAATGCCTGTAGAGGTGAAGAGGGTGTTGGATCCCCAGGAACTGGAATTATGGAGGGTTGTTAGCTGCCATATCGGTAGTGGGAAATGAACCTGGGTCCTCTGCAAGAGCAGTCAACACTCTTAATCTCTGAGCCACCTCTCCAGCCCCCCAACCAGTCTCTGACTAGATTTAAGGCCCATTCCAAAGGAGGAAACTCATGCCTGATACTATAAATCTGCCCAAGAACTCATGGTTGCAGACCTCATAAGCCACAGGGGAGAATTTATTATTACTGTTTTGCTAAATTGGCATAGTATGAAATTGTCTTGTAAATACTCATCTCTATACCCACAGATTAGATCATCTCAGTCTCCATCAGAGAAGTATCTTTTTCTGGTAGCCAGTGGCTAGTACAATTGCTCACAATTTGTCAAAGCGCAGAGTATGAATATGTATGGAATGCTCTGCCAAAAATGAGATAACTATATCACATCACCTTCTCCAAAGGCTCAGAGACCATCATAGAAGACTGAGCAGTAAGACTCTTAAGAGCCAGAGGTCACACAAGACTCTTGTAAAATAGTGTCTTCTGGACACAACAAAGCTTTTGTGTTCATGAACTAACAAGTTGTGATTACCTGTATAAGATCAAGGGAGTCAAAATCCCAGCATGGATCAGGGAGCCACAGCCCCCCTCCCCAACTGAGGAGCCATAGGTAGATGGGGGGGTGAAGGGTCATTCTTCCTCAGGGGTCTAGACCAGGGTACTCTGAATATGCTCCAATGTACAGCTCAAACCCATGCACATTTGGATAGCACTAATTTTTGCCTAAGTAGATGGAGGAGAAGAGGTAAGGGAAGGGGAAGTATAAGAGAGAGGGGGAGGAGGATGGGCGGGGGGGCAGCAGCAGCAGTGGTGGCAATCGCCCCCCATTGCCCTGCTTTGGGACTACCTCCGTTCCCACTGCGTCAAGGCTCACATCTACCCTCCTAGCTAGTCAGAAACCACTCGCTTGGTCACCATCACCCTAGGTTTGAGACTAGCCATTTGCTCTATCAGAGAGCCCCTGACTAGCCTGGTAGGTTAGTCAGAAAGCACTCCCTTGGTTGCCATTGTCCTGCTTAGTAACTAGAGCTGTCATGCTGACCCAGGGCTCACATATACCCTGCTTAGCTACTCTGAACTCCCACACTCCGTTGATATTTTCATGCTTCCAGCTAGGCCCATTCACACCACGTGGGAGCTCCTGACTAGCCTGCCTGGCACCAATACTTTCCCTCTAACAAAAAAATCAAAAGTGGGGCTGGAGAGATGGCTCAGCAGTTAAGAGTACTAACTGCTCTTGCAGAGGACCAGAGTTCGATTCTCAGCACCTACGTGGCAGCTACTAACCAGTCCTTACCTCCAGGTCCAAGGGAATTAGACGCCTTCTTCTGAACCCCACGGCACTACATGACACAGGTGCACTCACATATATGCAGGCAATATACTCATGCACATAAATAATAAATAAAATGTATTTTTTTAATCAAAAGAACCTGAAGCACAGACCCACTAACTATCCATACCTGATCAGAAAGCACCCAAGCTACAACAACAACAATAAAAAAAAAAAAAAAAACAGAACCAAACTTCAACTCAACAAAGGCAAGCTAGACTATCATGTAAGACATTCAACCAACAGAAGTCCATATGTCCAGGTCACAATGCAAAAACACAAATAATATGAAATACCAAGATAATATGTTCTCATCAAATCCCACCAGTCCTATAGAAGTGTTTTACAATGAGAACTACCTAGAGAAACCCCAGGACACAGAACTCAGAATAATCATAAAAATGATCAAAGAACTGAACAATTTTAAAGAACAAATGAACAACTCAAAGAACTCAAAAAGGACAGGAATAAACTCCTGGCAAGCTCAAAAAAAATACAAATATACAGCTGAATGAAATGACAAAGACAATTCAGGATGTAAAACTCGACTTCATCACAGTTAGAAATATTGAAGAAACCTGGACATTGTGGTGCATGCCTTTAATCCCAGCACTTGGGAGACAGAGGCAGGCAGATCTCTGTGATTTCAAGGTGAGTCTGGTCTACATAGTGAGTTCAGGTAGCTGGGGCTATAGGGAGCCCCTGTCTCAAAAAAAAAAAAAAAAAAAAAAAAAAAGAAATAATGAAAAAAAATCAAGCTGAAATGAAGATGGAATTTAAAAACCTAGTAAGTCAATTTGAAAGGACAGGAGAAGCCTCCATCAGCAGAATGAATCAAATGGAAAACAGAATATTAAGACAGATGATAAAGTTGGAGAATTGGACCACTAAAGCAAAGAATATGAAAACATTTTTAAAGTACAGGAATGGAATATGTAGGAAATGTGCAGCCACACGGAAAAACAAAAATAGAAACAAATCTACGCATTACAGGCATAGAGCAAGGAGAAGAAATTCAGGTCAATGGCCCTGACCGGATCTTCAACAGGATTCTAAGAGAAAAATTCCCAAAATTAAGGCAATACATACTCATACAGATAGAGGAAGCACAGAGAACAGCAAACAGACAGGACCAGAATATAAACTCCCCACATCACATCATAGTAAAACAAAGAGAGGGTACTGAATGCTGCAAGAGAAATACCAGTTACATATAGAAGAAAGTTCATCAGAATAGTAGCTGACATTTCAATGCAAACTATAAAAGTCAGAAGAGCCTGCAGCAAAGTATTCCAAGTTCTACATGATCAAACATGCCAACCTAGAATACTTTACCCAGCAAAACTGTCTATCATAGTTGAAGGGCAAAGAAAGATCTTCCATGATACAAATAGTTTGAAATAATTCATGTCCTTCAAACCCAGCCCTACAGAAAATACTCAAAGCAACAGAAAGGACACTGACAATCAGAGAAAGTGCTTATGGAAACATTCCAACTCACAATAGCCTCAAGAAAAAAAATTATAGGAATAAACGTAACCAAACATATTAAAGATTTCTATAATGAAAACTATAAATCTTTGAAGATTGAGGAAGAAATGAGATGGAAAGACCTCCTGTGTTCATGGATTGCTAGAATATTATGAAAATGCCTGTCTTACCAAAAGCCATTTATACATTCAATGCAATCCCAATAAAAATCCCCACGGCATTCTGCTATTTTACCCCTGTCAGAAGGGCTAAGATAAAAAAAACAAATGACACCAAATAATGGCAAGGACATGGGGAGAGGGGAACCCTCATTCACTGCTGTTGGGATGGCACACTAAAGGACATTTAGGGGCACAAACTTGACTAGATAGACCTTAATATATGACAGAATGGCGGGAGAAGGTTATAAGAAGGGGTGCACACAGGAGAGGGAGCCTAAAAGGAGAGGGCGGGGCGGCGGATGAAGATGATGACATCACGGGAAGAAGTGAAACCAGGAGGAGTTGAAAGCTTTTCTTAATCCATGAAAACTATTTAGTCTTCATAAATAATGCTGTGCAGCCCCCACAGTATTCAAATGACTAGCTTGCTTACTGAAGGACAAAAGGAGTTATAAAGCTGACAGGCGGTTTCTCAAAGGAACTTCCCCCTAACAAAAGGAAACGAGCAGGGATTTTAATCTAAAATAAATAACATTTCTGGAGAAGACTTCTATTCTTTCCATTGTCATGAGAACAAAGTAAAAATACATTCGTTGCAGAACCTGGCTGCCGCGCACAGGCACACTACAGTACGCATGTACCACAGACCTCTGCTAGCTGACGACTTGGACTTCCGGTCCCTGCTGACGTCAGATGCAGGTCCGCGGTCGGTACAGATCTGGGACCTCCGCTGGCGCTCCCTTGTCTGATTACTGGCTCTAGCGAGCTGGATTTAGCACACTAGAAGCAACAGAGCACAGACTTAGCTTCCAAAGCTACAGCAACCTAGTTCTATCACCACAATTTGCCTTTGAAGTACACTACCGCCGATAGTGAAGCTACTACTGAGAAGGGTGGCATAGAGAAAGCGGCATTTTAAGGTAAGTTTTGCACAGGTCACTAACCAAATTGTGTATGTCAGTGGGGGGGGGCTGTTGAGCCAGAGTCTCCCTGTAGCCCCAGCTGGCCTGAACTCACTATGTACACCAGGTTGGCATCAGTGTCAGACATCCCCAAGCCTCTACCTCCAGAGTGCTGGGATTAAAGGTGCCAGTCGCCACATTAGGTGACTAACCAAATTCTTAGATGCTGGTTGGGGAATCAAACTGGAGAGAGTACTAGTTCTATGGAGGTGTTCTGTATTGGGAATCTACAACAGACCTTCACCCTAACATCAGCTAAAAGGGAACATATGTAGGAAAGGGTCCTAAGAACTAGCTTCACACTAGACACCAAAATCATCCAGGTAGTGGCATGCACCTAGGGGCAACTGCTGGTTTCAGCATAGAATCAGGGACCACAGTGGCCTACCTGCTACTGGGTTTTACTGGAAGAGCTCTGTTATTGACATCTAAGGCACTACATTCCCATATTTCCCCGAGGTTGTTAGTTTTCTATCATTATGCCAAAATATCTGGAATAATAAATTTATAAAGAAAAAGGTCTATTTTGGCTCATGGTTTCAGCATCCCAATAATCATGACTGGAGACTATTAAGAAGAAAGCTTGATTGTCTGAAGGTAAACATGAAACAAAGAAGAAACTATTAGAATCGAATATTCCTCTCAGGGCCACACCCATGATGAGCTAGCTTCCACTAATAAAATATATGTATATGTAATTAACACATTATAAATAAAATATACATAAAATTATTTATTATACATAAAATATATGTATATGTAATTAACACATTATATACCTTAGAATCACATAATTTATATTTGACTATTACACCTTGGTAAAGCTAGAAGAAAAAGAAAGAAAACATAATCCAAGAAGGTACATGACTATCAACTCATGTCATCAGGCGTGGTGGCAAGCTTCCTTACCTACTGAACCATATCACTGGCCCTCAAGTTAGTTTTTAAATCTATAGATTTATTATTTTTCATTTATTTTGTGTTTGCATGTATGCGCTTGCATGTGTGCCATGGCTCATGTATACAGGTCATAGGGCAATTTTTTTGTGAAATTCAATCTTTCTTTTCACCACATAGGTTCCAGGAATTGAACTCAGGTCATCTGTCTTGGCAGCAAGCAATTTTGCCCATTGTAGAGAGATCTCCCCAGCCCTCAAGTTAATTTTTATGTTCACCTGACCATGCTGTATATAGATTCACTGAATTTAGGCATTTAAAACTGAAAACATACCCTCTGACCAACAGCTGCCTTTTTAGCTATGCATTTTTTAAATAACTAGTTATGGTAAACATTTTTTCATGTACCCACTGGCCATTGCAAAGACTTCCTTGGGAAAATGCCAATATAGGTACCTAAGTTTGATCTTCAGGACCTACATCGTGGAAGGAGAAAACCAATTCCCATAAGCTGAACTCGGACCTCCACATGTATGCTGTGGCATGCACATAGCCTCATACATACACAATAAAGAAAGAAACAAATGAATATATGATAAATACATGTAAAAATAATTTTAAAAGAAAACCAAAACTAATCTGATTATGGTAATCATTTCATAAAATATATGTATATGTAATTAACACATTATATACCTTAGAATCACATAATTTATATTTGACTATTACACCTTGGTAAAGCTAGAAGAAAAAGAAAGAAAACATAATCCAAGAAGGTACATGACTATCAACTTTTAATCCATTACCCAGAACTTGTTTATCAACAGCTAAAATTATAAACTCAACAAGCTGTTGTCCCACTAAAATTGTCATTACAGCTTTGACTTCCTTACTAATCTACCAATCACTGAAACAACAAAATTACTGGCCTTCGCAGATTTTTGTGAGAATTAAATGAAATAATGTCAAGAGTTCATTGCATCGTGTCTCATACAGGAACTCCTCAACAAATGGTAGCCACCATTTGACATTAGATATTCCATTAAGGATAAACTGTCAGGACCCAAATTGTCCTCACATTTACTCTCAACCCCTGGCATTAATGAAATAAGGTTTTTGTTTGACATTGACACTAAATTCCTTCTAATTCTTTTTAAATAAAAGCCAGGCCTGCAGCAATTTTCCCTGATTCAAGAAGTCAGAGAGATCTAAACAGTCCTTGTTCATCAGGACTGGTTCTCTGTCAGTGTTTCACTACTACATCTGCTTCAACAAGCTCTTGTATTTCAAGTTCTATATTGACTGTTGTCAGTGTTATCTACCAATCTTCAAGAATCCTTTCCCTCTTACTCTTTGTTATTAAGCTCTGGAGCTGAAAATTTGAAATAAATTGGCTTTTTGATACACTGACCTCACAGATACTTTCTTAAGCCTTCTAAACTCCAAGACCTCTAGGAACCTGAATCTTAACTGTTTCAAGCATAAGCTACCTTACCTTGCAATCAGTAGAAACTGTTTTGACTCAAAGATCCTAAATGCTTGAAATTTTCACGAATTAAAATCACTGTGATTTCAACTCTCCCACTGTCTTGGAACTTGCTCTTCTAATTTCCTAAGCTCAACAACACACTTGTACCCAAGGCCATCACTTGCATCCTCTTTTACCTCAGTCAAAACAATTATATGGCTACATCTCTAGAACATCTGTGATTTCCACCTTGCTAACAACACCTGAGCAGCTCCACTCTCTCCTCTTCCTCTCTTTGGCTGTGAGCATTGCTGGAAAACTTAACCAGGGTAGAGACAGCATCAACTGGACCCTCACTTGTCAGCAATTACACAATACTCTTTCTAAGACTCTTCCATTCATAAACTCCTAAAAGCATATTTATTATACTTTTCCTTTAGTAGCAGATGACCTTATAGCCACAGACAAAGATATCCCGTTCAGCTACCTCAATTATCTTCCTGTTCTTCACAAATGCTTGGTATCTTTTTCACTTTCTATCTACAAACTGTCCTCCAAAGCCAAATGTTTCTCCTTTTTCCCAAAACAAATCCCTCCATATTTGTCTCCCTATTTTTAGCTTCTCTTTATGGACTCAGATCAAGTGATTTCAAATCCAGTTCTACCATTTACTAATGTGTGTCTTTGGGCAAATTATTCAACTTAATCTCTAAGCTTTCATTTCTTTACTGTAAAAAGCTAACTAGTAACAGTACCTATTTATAGGGCCACCATGAAATAAAATTGAGAAAACTGACATAAAAATAAATGGCTAGGTCACTGTGACTATTCATGAACATAACAGCTATGATGACCATATTGCCCTTATATCAAACCATCTTATATTTTCCTTTCTTCTTAAACTTGCCTGAACCTTCTGTCTTTTTAAAAAAACTGCTTTTTCACTGGGTGTGGTGGCAGCACATACCTTTAATCCCAGCACTGGGGAAGCAGATGCAGGTGACTCTCTGTGAGTTAGAGGCCAGCCTGCCAGTCTGGCCTACATAGGGAGTTGTAGGCCAGCAGTGCTATACAGTGAGACCCTATCTTAAAAATAAATGAGTAAATAAACCATCAATAAAAAGATGTTGTTCCTAAAATTAGTTGCCCTATATCAATTTCTTTCCTTCCTTTTGCCACTAAACTTTTTAAATAATATTTTGTTGAGCTTTTTAAATTTCATACATTTCGCACTCAAATCCAGACCCCCTCCCCCAACCTACCCACATGGCATCTAGCATGTCAGCTCAATTAAACAAAGGCCCAAAGGGGAGGTGAGAAATAGGTGGTGTGCCACTAAACTTTTTGAGGGATAATAAACTCCTTTCCAGATGTAGCAAAGACAAGTGGAAATAGTTTGGAGCCAAATATGCCTGTGTTTGAACCTAGTTTTTCCACTTGGGAACAGTTTTACCCAGGAAAAGTCCTTTTCCTAGGCCTTGATTTTCTTTTCTTAGGGTCAACAAGAGGACTGAACTGAAAGATCTGCTATATATGTGTAGCAAATGGCCAAGGTAGCACTCAATAAGTGGCAGCTCTCCATGTCTCATCATTTCTTGAACATCTTGCAACCTGGAATTTTTCTCTACTATTCTCCTTGTACCTGTTTATTACCTCACTCCAATTGTCAATAGTATTATGACTTTTAGAAAATTCATTTGGCTTCTCTAAACCAGGGTTTTCATCTTTATATGTTTACCATATAAAGTTGTGTAATAATTAGCACATTTGAAGTATTTTAGCACAGTAAGTACTTTAAAAAGAAATTCAATTCCCTGTTCTAGGAGTCACTGATTACACACTAGTTTATTATTATTTAAATTTAAATTATTTTTTTAAATAGCATGTGAGGTCTTTCTCCTTTGAACCCTGAGTACTTGGAACTACTCTTCATAAAAGACAATTTCTTTCCTGGGAATCAATCATTTGTTACATCGCCAATTGTTTAATTTAGTCTTTTTTATTATTTTTTTTAAATTTTATGTGTACGCATGTATGGCCTGCATGTAGGTAAGTGCACCCGTGTCGTGCAATACCCGTGGAGGTCAGAAGAGTCTGTTGGATCCCCTGGAACTGGGGTTACAGACAGTTGTTAGCTGCCATGTGGGTGCTGGAATTCGAACCCGGGTCTTCTACAAGAACAGTCAGTGTTCTTAACTGCAGAGCCATCTCTCCAGCCCCAATTTAGTCTTTTTTATCTTCATTGTCTAGCTTTAATTTATTCCTGCAGAGCTTGATGTAGAGCTTGAATATACATCAGACCTGTCCTAGATATTAAGGACAGAAAAATTACTGATAAAATTACTGTCTTAAATGAGCTTATAATTTAGGATGGTAGAAAGATAAATATTCTGTTTTCTGGAATGTCCAAAATACTATGATAAGTTATATGTGGGCTTTCTAGGGAGCAGGAAGAAGAGTTATTTAAATCAGACTCAGCTGATCAAGGACACTGATCAAGAGGCATTCTGTGCTTAGCAAACAAAGCAAACCTGCCCCACTAGTGGCTTACAGGCTGCAAGCGCCTCAGGGTAGCTATGTCTGCTGTCCAAGACAAAACTGCAACATTATAAGTGTTCTGCTATTTTTTTTTTATTGGTAACTTGATTGCAATTCTCCAGTATGAACTTTGTATATGACAACACTATCGTGTCCCATTGTCAAAAGTTAGTAATTAAATGAGAATGGGCAAAGGCACTTTAGGAACTGCAGAAAAAGCAGGATAAAATCGGCACAGAGAGAAGGAAGAAGTTCAGTAATGTGGAGAAGTTCAGTAATGTGAAGAGAGTTCCTGAAGAGGCAGCATACTTAGACTCTCATTTTTTAGTAGTACTCTGAGAGCACAGGGGGAAATTGATTTCATGAGAGGACTGCAGGAGGTAGTCCAGTTAGGAGAGCGTTCGATAATTCAGAAAAAGTACACGCTCCAAAACCACAGAAATGCTGTAGAATGCCAAATGAAGATCAACACACCGAGTCGACTTAAAATCAGCTTCGGCTGAATGAATGTGTCTATCTGCTTCAATTCTAACAAAGACATACACTTTAAAATACGCTGCAAACGTATTTGCAAACTAATGTTATTGAAACCTGAGTCAGCGGGGTTGCTCCCTCTAGCCGGATTCCTACGTAAAAGCACGCTTTCTCCTAAAAATCAAAACAGAGTCTTCTATTGAATTGAGAGTAACAGCAAAACGTATAATCTCACACACTGCAGTCAGAGAGCTTCGGAGGTCTCTCTCCGGGTCTGCTTTGCTCCAGTAGTGTTTAAAACTCCTCCGCGAGGGTTGGTCATGAGGCCCCGCCCTGGGCACCTACACAAATGCCCAATATCCTGTTTTTGTTTTTTTTTTTTTATTTTAGGTCGAAGCAGTTCGGAGCTCTGGCCTTTTCCACGGGGGGAGGGGGGGGACTAAAGCCCAGCGGCTATGTAAACAGCTGACTGCAGGGGGCTGAGAAGGCCAGGCAGGTGACTTATGGCTGCAAATGTGAAAAATCCCGATTCCCACAGTTGCACCTCCACGCCCCCACTGGCTGAGGGGCGTCCTTCAGAAGTCAAGAGAGTCCCTTCCACTGTTACTGGAATGATGTCGGCAGGAAGGGGATAGGGAGGGAACAAAACTAAGTTTGTTTTCACTTACCCTAAAGGCCGCCATACTTATGACCCTCTCCGCTCCAAGTTTTCAGACGGAGACCGCAGAGGGACAAAGCAGTTAGATTGACTTCCGTCACGACAGCCCCGCCCCCTACGTCGAGCACTGGTCCGCTCACGGCCTTTCTCCCTCCGCCTTCCTGCAGCTCATTAGTAGCTGCCAAACTTAACTAATCAGCTGGCTTCTAGAGAAAGGGGCTATATCCTGGAGACAGAAACTCCAGTCCTCCTTACAGCCTCAGAATATCCTCCACAGTCCAACTGGAAGTTGTTTCCTTGGATGAACATAGTTTTCGTTTGTTTCAAGTTTATGTGATTTGTCTAGAAAATAACTTAAAACCAGGTTTAACTCCCTTAATAAATAACGATATGGTCACAAGAACAAGTCACTTCTGACACACTTGGGGTTATTGCAATCATTCTAAATCTATGTCACTTAAGGACCAACTCTGCCAGGCAGTTGTTCAGAGCACACTACAAAACCTACTGATTTTTGAGTGCCAGAAGGAAAAAGCTAATAAATATTACAAAGGCCTAAATTCTATTCAAGAAAACAAACAAACAAACAACAACAACAAAAAAAAAAAACAGCGGTTTGGCGAGAAACTCAGCGCTGAAAGACATTTGGTGCAGAGGCTGATAACCTGAATCCCATCCACAGAACCCACATCATGGAAAGAGAGAACTGATGCCTACCTACAAGTTGTCATTTGACATCTGCATGATTCCCATGCCAATTACACACACACACACACACACACACACACGTCATAAAAATATTAAAAATAAGTGTTGGGATTTTATAGGATTTACTTTTTCATATAGATTAAAGACAATAATAAGCCAATTTGAGAAGAGTCATGAGGAATTTAGTTAAGTGTTCCATGCAGAAGGAGCACCAAGAAAAAGGGTCAGTGTGTTGGAGTGGGGGATTCTGTAGTAGTGAAAAAACACACTGCAATAGGAGCTTTTTGCATCACCATGGGAATTTCTATTTTATTCAAATAAGTTGGAAAATCATTGCAGGTTTTTGAGCAATGGTGTCACTTGATCTAAGATACACTGTAAAATGATTATTATGATTTTCTCAGGAAAATAAACTAAGGGTAAGTATATCATTCTCTATAATAGTGTGGAACCATCCCTTGAGGTCTCCTGTGAATAATTCTATGAAAAAAAGGGGTGCTCATAATGTACCCATTGGCCTTCTCAATATTAGTCAACCTAATAAATTGATTCAACAAATAGTTATTAAGGCAAACTGTGTACCAAGCGTTAATGATATACCAAGCTCATTTGATACTTGAAATAGATCCTTAATGGATATGCAATAAAATTATTTTTAAAATAATGATGAAACATTATTTTGAACTAAAAATATATGATTTGTGCTTATATTAAACATTAAACATTTTGAGCTTTAACATCTGCATATTTGTTCATTACTTCATCAAAATTTAGCATTTCTGAATATTCAATAGGTGGTTTAGGTAAGTTTTTCAATTTATCTTTGTTCATAGTCCATTGAGGCTCACTTTTCATTAATTTTAATATTAATGAAGTTTCACATTAAAAACAAACATGCAAATAGGAAAAAAGTCTTAAAATTGTGATCTTCTTAAAGGTAGGGACTCTAGATTGGTTGACTAGACCTCAGTGAATGAACTTGTACTGAGGGACGTCTCGGGACACTAACTTGACTCGATAGGCCTTGACACAAATGACAGAATGCATGAAATCCAGTGGGGGAGCTATGCAATTTTGATTTTTAAAAATACAAATATCCATCTCCTTACATTGTTATTGACTACTAATTTACTTTCTTTACAACTTCTGTAACTTGGCACAAGAGAGATTGCTCAGCAGTTAAGAGCACTGGCTGTCCTTGCAGAGGACCAGGAGATCCAAGCCCCTCTTCTGACCTCAGGCACTGTGCAGCACAGTTGTATCTACCTACATGCAGGCAATACCCACATACACATAAAATAAAAAAGAATAATAAATAAAATATTTTTAAAAGAACAAGAGAAAAAAACCAATTTGTAACTTAGTTTTCAAAGAACAATTTAAAGCTTTGTTTCTGCTATGTATTTTTCAAGACAGACTTTGGCTATTCCACATATTTTTCTGCATGATAGACCTCATTGAGAACTTCAAATAGTGCAAAATCTAATTTTCTCTCATAGAAAGCAGGGGAAAATAGAGGAATATCTTCAGTGGTTGTTTCCTTCTTAGAGGAAAGTTCCTTTCTACTCTGCCCTCATTCACGCCTTTGTGTTCTCCTCTTCAAAGAATGAATTAGAAGGAGTTCAGCCCAATATATTGGTTCTGTGGATATACATTTGTGTGACAGCAGTTTTCTCCCTGCAGTATACATGGCATGATGTGAAGGCCATAGTAAAACAAGATTGCACTAGGCAAGTCTTAGCTGACCCAGATTGCCAGTCTACCCTGCCCCGACTATTTTTTTTTTATCCCAAGTGAGTTTGCTTTGTAGACTACTGGAGTACTATAGTAACATGGAAAATCAGCTCAGGATTTGGCCATTATTGTGGGTGGCCAAAGTAAAGTTATAGTAAAAAAGTGACTGGAGATGAGGATTAGGAGAGCTCATTACCTCTGAATTTTCAATTCAGCCTCTCTTCTCTGACCTCTGTTATTCTCCTTTGACTCATGCCTTTCCTTTGGCCTCTCAAGATCTCTCGCCCTTAATGTTTATGCTAGTTACTATGGCTACACAACAATTTATCACGACTTTAGCAATGTCAAAAAGAAACATCCATTAAATTTCTATGGGTTGTGCCAGGTCTGGTGCCACATGCCTTTAATCCCAGCACTAGGGAGGGAGGTGCAGGAGGATCTCTGTGAGATCAAGACCAGCCTGGTCTACACCCTGAGTTCCATCCAGGCCTGCTGGGACTACAAGGAAACCCTGTCTCAAAAATATCAAAAGAAATTTCAATGGGTCAGGAATTAAAAAGTGACTTGGTTGGATGGTTTTGCCTATTCCTTAAATGTTTATTTGAATTTTTTTTTACAATTTCATGCCATATATTTTGATCACATTTAGGCTCGCTCTCCTATGTGCACCCCTCTTATAGCCCTCTCCCACCAGATTTCATGCATTCTTTCATACACTTATTAAGGCCTGTTGAGTCAAGTTTATGTCCCCAAATGTCCTTGGGTGTGCATCCATCCACTGGAACCAGGTTAACCTATCTAGTATCATACCTTAAAAAAAAAAAAAAAAAACTAACTCTCCCTCTCCTGACAGTTGTCAGTTGCCAACAGTTTCTCAGCTAAGGTAAGGTTGGGGCTTCTTTCCGACCTTCTCATTTCTATGCTTGGAGTTTGTTTATGTGGGTCGTGTGCATGCTGTTATCACTACTATGAGTTCATATGAGTAACTTTCAAGCTGTCTGGAAAACTATTTCCTTGTGGCCATCCACCTCCATTGGTTTTCATAGTTGTTCTGCCCCTCTTCTGCAATGATTCCTGAGCCTTGAGTGGCAGAAGTTTGGTTTAGGTGACCTATTCAGAGACAAGCATCCTGCAGTCTCTTGTTCTCTGCATTTTAGCCAGTCATGGCTTTCTGTGTTCGGCACCATCTGCTGCCTGAGAAAGAATTGAGAGGTGCATTCATATTCTTTCTGCCCCCTGTTCCATGATGTTATCTGAGTTTTAAGTGTAGATGTGTCACTTAGGGCTGGGCACCTCACAGACACTTATTATCTGCATTTGATAAGTTGTAGAACTTTGTAATAGTCTATCTGTTGCAGAAAGAAGCTTCTTTGATGAGTGGTGAGAGGTACACTTGTCTGAAACATAAGGATACATATTTAGAATACAGTAAGAAATTACATTGGTCTAGGGATATGACAAAAATAGGACTTTATATAGGATCTATGATCTCTCCAGTATTTGACTATGTTTACAGTAGTACCAAACATGAATTCTCTCCCACTGAATGAGCTTTAAGTTCAATTAGAAAGATGTTGATTACCCCCAAGATGAAAGTACCACTACTGCATCAATAGAGATTATTTTCTGGATCAGTCATTGTCATTCATAGATTTTTATATCTGGGTGGGACCATTGATTGGTTTTCTCCCTTGGTGGTTTGCATAGGTGGTATCCTCTGATACTATGGGAGCTAGTCTTCTGGGAGGAGGTTTCCAGGTCAGGTCAGTTCCTGTTCCAAGTCCTATGTCTGAAATATATCCTGTCTTCAGCAATAGGGTATTACCTTCAAGTTTTGGGAGGTAATCAAGGGCTGTGGCAATACCCTGTTTTATTTTGGGAGTCTCTTGGACTACCATGAACTTGAAAGGAGGTTCCTCCTGCCTTGCCCTGTGTTTTCAGTTATATAGCCTTCAGCTATACACATGCACACCACACACACAGACACACACACACACACACACACGTTTATTTTTTCAATAGGCTTTTGAACTGATGCATTCCCCCCTTGGTTTTTCACACCACCTAACCATTATTTATCTCTCCTCTCTCTCCCCCCCTGTATAGCCCTCCTTAAATATTTTTATTTGGTGTGTGCGTGTATGTGTGTGCATGTGTGTGTGTGCATGTGCACGTGCATGCATGTGCATGCACACACACATGCACACTAGTGTGTTAGGTTAACACTGAGATGTCTTTATCATTGTCCACCTCATTTTCGGAGACATAATCTCTTCACTGAAATGAAGCTTGTAGGCAGGCACCAAGATCCATGAATCCACCTATCACTACCACCCCAGCACTGGGGTAAGAAGTATATGCCACTATGTTGGTGAGTGTTGGGAATCTGAACTGATGTTCTCAGGCCTGCACAAGAGACACATTATCCACTGAGCAATGTCCCTAGCACTGATTTTGTCTCTTTATGTCTCATGGGATTATAGTCCAGCTATTGATTAGAGCTGCAGTTATCAGAAAATTTGATTGAGGCTGTAGGATCTGTTGAATCACTGGGGGTTTAAACAGAGATATCAATTATTTGCCATGTCAATTTCTCCACTGAGTTGTTTGAGCATTCTCATAACATGACAACC